GTGTGTGCCAGGATGCTCTAAAAACTAGAAATGACTTGAGTAGAGGTGCTGGAGCACTTATATAAAATATCTAAATAAATCTTTAATATTTCTAATTGCAAATGTACATAAATTGCACGGCCACATCATTTCTTTGAACACCAACAACTTTCTCTGTACATTATTACATAGTTTAAAAGGAGCTGAAGGAGATTCAGCAAACACTTCCACTTTGCTTTGTTTTTTAAACATACTTACAAAAAAAGATTTGTTTTTCTTTATAAGAGGATATAAAACATAGTGACTGCTTATCAGGAACGAGTATCAGCCTAAGCAGATATACAGAGAGAGGTATATCTTAAGACACAGTGATGTATGATAAAGGAATATGTGAGCATGGAGGCTGCACTCTGGGGTACTGGTAGCTGATGCAGAACCACATGGCATTTACAGCAATGTCAGAGCTCAGGTGATCTGTGGAAGTCAATGCTTGAACGTGACACCCTTTTCCCAAGCATGGTTGTTCTGAATGTTGTGCAGCGCCCTCGAGGTTGGATTTGGTTTGTAAAGCCCAGGAACTGCGTGTTGACGTGCTGCTGTCGTCCTCCCTCTCCCCCATGTGTCATATTCCCCATGGGAAGAGAAACAGGCAGCAGTTACCTGTGCAGGGCAGGGGCCACACGGCCAAGCGTCGGGCTCAGCAGCCAGAGACCCACTTGGAGATAGGAGATGCCCCTTCCCAGGGCCAGTTAAGGGATCTGTTGGTGGCCATAAGGCCACGTGCTCTGCCTCATGCCAGGTCCCAGCAGGTCCCCAACAGTGGCTGGGGTGGGAAGGGGGTGCTGCAGGGAGCTCACCCCAGGGACAGTGTCATGGTTGTTCCCTTTGGACTTTCTGCCTCTCGCCCTCCAGGCAAAGCTACATGTGACGGACAGAGCAGTGACCCGAGTGGATGCTGCTGGACACGGTGCTGCTGACACAGCATCTCCTGGGGGTCACGGTGGGAAATGAGCCCCTTGTAGGTCAAACCCATGGACCACACTGTGGGTTTCCTGGGCAAATGCATCACAGCATTTCCCATCTCCTCTGAGCAAGTCCTGTCCTTGTTCACCACAGAGCAGACCTCAGTATGTTTCCTACTGCATCTGGATAGGGAGATCAGGAACAGCCTGAGAGCACGCTGAGCTTTGGGAATGATTGATTATGTGCTGACTGCTTTCCGAGGAGAGCCTGTGATGCCTTGCTTAGGGCCAGCAAGTCCCTGCTCTTTAGGAATATTCATAGTAGCAGGACCAGTGTCCTGCATCCTGCAGCAGCCTATGGGGCTGGCCTCCAGCCCTGAGGATTCAGCATGTTCTCACAGTGCAATCAGTGCTTTACAACTGCAGAAGCAGGAAACAAACCCAACCAGACTCAAATGACAGTGCAGTGATGCAGGACTCTTTGGATGGCAGCAGGATTTGCTTAAACTGGTGCAAAAGGGGCTGGTGACTACACTGTAGTATTAGTTGGCATGGGGAAGGACTTGGGTCCCTCCAATCTTTTGGCACTGAAGCCATGATTCCTGTCCAAAACGATGACTTACAGTCTGCAGAGACCTTGGGATACTGGTCAGTCCAGTTCATCCCCTTTACATGAAACTTTTGACAAGCATTCACTACAGTTTAACAAAACCCCAAATCAAAACTCTTAAAACAGAATCCTTGAGGTGGGCCAACCCCAAATCTGGATCCCTGGCTTCTCTCCCTTCCCCTTCCCTGAGATCCGCAAGGAAGGAGGCTGAAATCATAACCTGTGTCTGGATCCAGATTTGCTAGCTTGAGTCCCCCCTCTCCAAAACAGCAGTGAGATACAGCCAAATCCTGCCCGAATAAGCAGCACCAGAAGTAAGTTACTATGTACAACTGTTAGTGAGATAGATACGGTACAGTAAACACTGAGAACATTTACCAAAAAGTATTAAGACTTGTATTAAGATAAAAATCCGAGTGTGTTTGTGTTTCATTTAGACTCGGGACACGGTTGCACTGGAACAGCCTCTTGCTGGAGGAAGCGCAAGAACAAGAAAGGAACCGGAGTCGCTCACAAAACATTCCGAACGGAGCCTTGCTCCGGAGCTGCAAACACCACTTGGGATTGCCTCTGGTATTGCTGTGCCGGGGCACCGGCCACGTGGGGCTCGTGTGCATCCCCTTCCCCCCACATAAATGTACAGCTGAGAAATAACAGAAACACAAAGTGAAGTAACAGAACTGAACGGAGCCTGGAGCTGCGAACCTACCCCAGAACCTTCTCAGGAGAGGGTCATGGTTAGGTCCAGTTGTTGGTAGTTGCAGGGAAGGAGATGGGAGGGAATGGGGAGGAATAGTGGGAACCTACTGTAAGGAGACTTTGTCCTGATTGGAATTTCGTTTCGTACTGGCTCAGGAAATAAGCCACAACTCCAGAAGGTGCTGGCACTGGAACTTGTGAGGTTCTAATGACTCGCTGTGGCAGGATTTAAGCGTTCCTGCTGTTTCAGCAGAACGACGTGTGTGCAGTGATTGGCAAGTTTGAGTTAACCAGGAGTTTGTGACAGATGGGGTGGGGGGAGCAGTGCCTTGGCTTGTGGCTGAGGAGATTGAGCTGTACTGTGCTTAGCTCCCGTACTAAACAATTGTTTTGTGGGCGTTTCGTTTTCCCACTGACTGCATCCCACCATGACATCCGTGTATGAATGGAAACGCACTGCCCGCCCCGGGGCCCTGTTGGCGTTTCCATTCCTCATGTTCTTTCTTTTTCTCTTGGAAAACTTCCGTCTCTGCAACACAAGTGTTTTGCACTCAAACCCCATCAGCTCTGAACACACAACTCAGGGCAACAGTGGTTTAAAATAGTCTTTTTTTTTTGTTTGTTTTTGCAGGGTTGTTATCAAGTATTTGACTCTGAGACAATGGCAGATGTAAGTGTACGTACCCAACGGTTCACAGTACCCTGTATACGCCTAACCTGTCTGGGTCTTTCTCCAGTTGTAACCTTGTCAGGTTTGTGAGGTTCTTCAAAGCCATCTGTGCTAGTCTCCAAAATTCACACTTGTCATAAATACTTAGTTATTCCTGTTCTCTGAGGAGCTCCGCTTGGGGTCTGCTGCGTGACCGCACCGCGCTGCGGGTGTTGGCGGGGGGCGCAGACCTCAGTGCACCACGTTCTCTCCTCCACGGACCAAACTGCACCCGGCTCGGCCCAGGGCTTCCCGGGAACACAAAAACGTTTAGGAATAAAAGGCATCATCTTTAGCTGTGAAAACAATTGCATGTGGTGAATGCTGTGAATGAGCCTGTGGGGCAGCATGGCAATGCAGAGCTTAGTGGCAAAGTGTCCTGCTCAGGCAGCCTAGGTGGGGTGAGGCTGGAGACGGTACCTGAGCTGTGCAGAGCTCAGTGAACATCCTAGTCCCTTTGTACATTTACACATGGCAGGAGGAGCTAGGACAGGCGTTGAGCAGTGTGATAAACTTTAGTGGGAGGAATAGGCAGAGGTCCTGTACACTGTACACTGTCATCCGTATCTCAGAGAGAGCTCTCTGGCTCTTGGTTACGAGGGACCTGCTCTGAGAGTGGGAGTCATGAAGTGCTACCTTAGAACAACCACAACCCAACAAACACACCGTGGCGGCCGGTCAGCGGCACGATCCCCCGTTAAGGAGGTGACCCCTCCGCTGAGCACAACGGGAATGTGCCGGATCTGCGTCTCAGCAGCTGGGAAAGTCTAATCCTGGCTTATGCCTGCACAGTGCTCCTGACAAGGGGCCTTTCGGTGGTGGCTGCTGTTCTTGGTGGTTACTCCCTTATGACCATGTTTTACATTCTTCGAGCCGGTTAATTTCCATGCAGTGCTCATTCCCAATTTAAAGAGGACAGTATTCCAGAAAATGGGATCTTTTTTTTTCTAATGCATACTGTGAAAGAAAAGAAATACAATTACCGATCTTCATGGTTCTTCAGGGCTTTTTTTTTTCTTGTTTCTTTGTCTGTTTTTTCTCCCCAGAAACAGTAAAAATCTCTGCACAGAGCATTACACCCCCATACGAACCCTCCGTCACACGAGAAGCTGGTGAGCTCACATAGCCCCTCACTCCCCCTCTACCACACTGGGCACCAGGAAATCCAGCCCCTGCACCTCATTCACAGCTCGGGACCAAACTCAGGCAACATTTATTTATTCTGTGGCTAGAATTGTGTCTGGCAGGGACAGGATGACAGTGCCCTGGGGCTACTGCTTACAAAGGTTCTTCCCTATTATTTGTGAGAGCAGAAGCTGTAGAGAGGCTTCAAGTCGCTGTTCAGGTGCCAGCTCATCCCTCCACTTGCATGCCAGAGCCTTGGTCTTGCTCTGCTCCCCTGGGCTGCCCCGGGGCCCGCCAGGACCCCCAGCAATGCCCCTCTCGCTGCCCTGCAGCACCCCTTTGGCTACTCCAGCACGCAGCCTGTGCCCTGACCTCTCATCTGGACTGTGCTCCCTCTCTGGTGGAGTTAATTCAACACTAATCAGCTGTGCAGATGCCCCTGTGGACAGTCAGTGGCCTCAAAAAAGCCAAGGAAGGAGGCTGGGCTGGGCTCGGGGCTTGCTTTGGGAGCGGGCTGTGATCCCGGGGGAGTCACAGGAGGAGCGGGTGCTGCATCCCTCGTACAGCTACATCCAGCAGCACCCTTTAACTGGACCTACTGGGCCCCTGCCTGCTGCAGGCTCTGCCCAGCTCCCTTTGTGTCGCTTACTGCAATGACAAGGACGTTACTCCTTGCTGGGAGGGGTGAGGCGTATCCTTTGGGCAGTTTAGAAGGAAAAAAGGTAACTTTCGTTTAAACATTAAACACTGATTGAAATCCAACAGTGACAGCAATGCTCAAATATATGTTATTTCCTTATGCCACTCATCTCACACTCGATCTTTCCGTCCCCTCAATGTGCTGGCATTAGCATCTCCCACAGAGGCTCAGTCAAGCGCCGTCCGCAGTAAGGAGCGGGGTCCTCAGGGGGAGCAGCCGTTCTCTGAAGCTCACGCCTGCTGCTGCACGGTCTCTGTGGCCTCCTCCTGCGGCTCCCTCCGCGGGGTAACAATTACTAATAACAATTACTGCTGTTTCTGAATTCGCCATTCTCTGTAATCTGCAATTTAGTTGGGTTTGTGGGGGAGATCCCATTACGTGTCTGCATGCTGTACCTCTCTTTGAGCTGAGTAAGGGCACTCATTAACCGTGCGTTGGCAGCATCCAGGGAAGCAATGCGTTTCTCCTGCAAGCGAAAGGGGCAGAGGGGACCAGTCAGTGGAAAAGCACGGGAACAGCGTCCCTCTGCGATGCCTCTTGGCCCAGGACCTTTCTCTCTCTGAAATCCTTGGGTTTTTAGGGGTTTTTAAGTGCTACACAGCATTTTTGGGAATCCCCTGCTATCTGCAGGGACATAAATGCACTTCGCCTGTGCAATGGGAGCTGAATTCCTTCAGCATCCTGAAGAAGATGGAGGTAACACAGTTTAGTTCCTCAGTTATACAGAAATTCATTGTACTGTTTGCTCTAAGAGCAGCTGTTAAGAGGTGGTAAGATTCCTTTTCTAAACCCAAGCTCTCCCAAGGTAGTTATTCCTGTCAATGTTTAATTGATTTTGTTACCATAAATTAATAGTTTAAATGACTTGTGGCGTCCCAGGATGGCTTTGATGGCAACTCCCACCTACTACAGTATCGTAAGGATGGGAGCAAGAGCTGCTGTGTTGAGCCTGATTCTGCCACTCCAGTTCTTTGCCACACTGTCATCATGCTCCTCTGTCTGCCACTAACAGAAGGGAGCAGAATCGACTCAGGAGTAGTGCTTCTGTGTAACTGTGAAGGTCCATCATGTATGAACATGTCCAACACTATTGTACAGCCTTAAATGACAAAAAGAGACCCCATGTAGGATGTGCAGGGCCCTTGTAAGAGCTTCACATGTAACACAGTGTGGCAGGAGGCAGCACAGCGGGTTGAGAGGTGCCCTCTGCACGGCTCCCACCTTACAGACCCCCCTGCCCGTGCCAGGCTCCAGGGAACAGGATGATTTACTGGCTTTGAACAAATTACAGAAAAACAGTGATTCTTCTAACGAAGTTACTACTGTCTCATCTCCTGTTTAATTAGCTGCACGGTGAATTAGTCATGAGTAGTGACGCACAAGTGATTAATAGGGTTGTTAAGAGTAAGCCTAGGATATAGTATCACCTAGCCCCAACCTGGAGGAAGGGTACCTGCTGAGAGGATGCTGGTCTCTGCCTAGACACATTAAAAGATTATAGACTGTACTGTCAGGTTCTCTTTTCCGAGCCTCGTGTTTTAACCCGTCACCTGATGCTCCTCTGCCAGTGTAATCCATAGCAATAACTGAGCTGCTTAATCCCACAAATCACAACCCAAAGACTGATAAAAACACGTTCTCTTTGGTCTGGCCACGTTGCCGTGTTCCTTGTATCCAGGTCCTGTGAGCATTACTGGAACATGAAGCTCCAAGCAAAGCTCTGAGGACCTCAGGACATGATCCTTCCACAAACTGAATTGTGGGCATGATCCTTCCACAAAATGCCCCCCCCCACCCCCGTGTTGCCTGCCAAGCTCCGAGGCTGGAAAAAACTGTATGAATGGGAATGCTGTGACAATAAACCAGTAAATGCTGAATCTGGCTCTGTCACTGGCTGCAGCGTGGTGGTGACTCACCCATGTGCATTGCTGCCTTGCTGCATGGCAGGGGGCTGCAGGGTGGCAGAGTCACCCTGCAAACTGCTGCAGCCCTTGGTAGTGGGACTCACCTGTGCATCGATAATCTTCTGCTTGGAATCCACAGCAGCCTGCATTTCTGCATGGTCCTTCTTTAACTCCTCCTCAACTGACATCAGCCTGGTAGTCAAACAGACAAGAGAAAACATTACACGTGTTGGGCTCTGCTAAGCCCAGGTATTAGCCTCATACACACCTGCAACAGCCACCCAGAGCGAATGACACAAATCATGTCCCCATTTAGGCCCTGACACCAAGGAAGCAAAGGGGTGATCTTTGAAGCACACAGGAAGGGATGGGAACTCTGAGAGAGGGACTCTTCATCACAGATGATAGTGATAGGACAAGGGGGGATGGGTTCAAACTAAAATGGGAGATTTAGGTTGGATATAAGGAAGAAATTCTTTACTGTGAGGGTGGCGAGGCACTGGAATAGGCTGTCTAAGGAAGGTGGGCGTCATCCCTGGCAGTGTTCAAGTCCAGGTTGGATGGAGCTTGGAGCAACCTGGACTAGTTAAAGGTGTCTCTGCCCACGGCAGGGGGTTGGAACTGGAGGAGCTTTAAGGTTCTTTCCAACCCAAACCATTCTATGATTCTGCATGGAATCAGATTCTACAACTATGATTCTAGTTCTGCATTTGAGCACACAGGAGGCATATGGTCACTGGCACTTACCTCTTACCCAGTTCAGAGCCAGTCTTTTTTCTGGCTCTTAGTCCTCTCTAGAACTCTGTATAGCACTGTCCCAAAGCTGAAGTGACACAGAATGGTGAAGGCTGACCCGTTTATGAGGGATCATTAATACACTAGGTTGGCTTGGCTCGGGGGCAGGTGAAGGCTGCACTGGAACAGCCTGGGTCCTGGACAAATGTAAACACCACATCCCACTGGGCAGGAGGAAGAGATTTATAGCTGGGAGCGATGGGATGATGATGAGATCTTTAGCTAAACAGCAGGAAAAGAACATTTTGATCGTCACATCTATTGCTCATTGGACAGAGGAGTGAACCTGCCAGATCCTCTGGGAACTGGGCAGGCTGCCAGTGCTCCCCTTGTGAAGTTTTGCCTTTGTGAATCAGGGAGATGTCAAGAGTTTTCCTTGTCCAGGTAACACTGATGGGGGGAGGATGACCCCAAGAGTCAGGGCTTTAAACTGCCCCTGGGAGCTGTAACCCAGAAGGGCAGGAAGTGAATAAATGCTGTAAAACCCACATGGGAAACCTGCCTGCACCTCCAAAGACCCCTGACCCTCCTGAGCTGTAACGCCAGCCAGGCTGCCTGCATTACTGCCACCTCCAGCGCTCCCATCTCCCCTGTACCTGCTGATGATGCCCTTCATCTGGATCTCCTTATCCTCCTGCTGTCTCCGGAGCCTCTCCTCGCTCTCCTCCAGCCTGGCCTGGTATTCCAGCATCAGCTTCTGCGTTGTCTCCTCCTGGCATTTGAAGCGAGTCTCATATTCCTCCAGCTTCTTGTTGGAAATGCGCAGCTTGTCCTGCAGCACCACTAGGTCCTGCTGGTACTACAGCACGCAAGGACAGACACAGGAGGAGAAAACACATGTGGCACGTTACCGAGTCGGGCTTTGCCCTTGCCAGGGTTTCCCCATCGCCCCCTTATGCCCCTCTCCTTGCACAGGACTAGCTGCAAACCCGTGTGGGATAACCCTGCTGCCGACACCTCCTCTTCGGTCTTCTCCACACTGCGCTAGGAGCGACGCCGCGTCCGCTGGCGGGCAGGTCACTGCCAGGTTCAGAGAACGGGTTGTTAGCAGAGTCTGGCATTTCACAGGGGGAGGCAGGTTAGAGCGAGCGAGAGGCAAACGCAGCCGGCACCGTCCTCGCGCTAACGGCACAGCGCTGAACACAGGCAGGAGGAGCTGCACCGGTGGCATTTTGGGTTTACACACGAGCTCTTCACTCTACAGCAATAAATGTGGGTGCTTTGGACATGGGGGAAGCCAAGCAGGAGCTGTTAGTGCAGGAGGCTCTGCTGTCTTGGCACAAAGTGTCCACCCTTCATCAAAGCGAGGGCAGCTCCCTGTCCTGAGCAGGGCAATGAGCACCACTGCATTTTGGGGCCCAGCATGTTAAACACAATCAGATGTCAAACCAGGATTCAATCTGAGAAGAGCTGCTGCGTGAAGCCAAGATCCCACAGTTGTTCTGCTCATTCAGATGAAGCTAAAAATCAGCAGCAGAAGAATCACATAAAGCAATTAAAAAATGAAGAGCGTTTCAACTCAGTTGAGCTGGTTCAGCTCCTGCAGCAGCAGAGCGGTGGGTGCAAGTTGCTTTGCTAAAGGAAAATCCAGTGTAGCTGTAAAAAAAACCCCAACCTAACACAAACACTTTAATTTAAAAGCATTAGCTTTGGAAACAGTCTTAAAAAACCCCCACCCCTCAGCTGGCACAACCTCAGGATAACGAACACGCTGCTGCTAATGTGACAAGCTGGAGTCAGATACGGGAAAAGACTTCATCTGAGTCATGAAGTCTGTTACAAAGCTACAAGTGTTATTCATGAGCTGATAGAAATGCACTTAAATATGTCTTGAATTGGCCAGCTGAAAATACAGCCTTCCCCTTTGGCCAGTGCCACCCGTGTAAGCACCCAAATGATGGACACGGTTGTGTCCCAGTGAAGGGGAGTCAGACCAGCCCATGTCAATCCATGTTGCTGTCCTAATATCACTCCACTGACAGCAGAAGGAGCTTTAACTCCCAAGGATTTAAATTTATGCTGCTGACGGTCTTCCTGACCTGCCAAAGCATTCGAGCCGTGGCTGAGCTCCTGCCTGGGCAGGGACAGGCTCAACACATCACTCTGATCCTCCTTTAGCAAAGCTTTTACTGCGGCACTGGAACGACACAGTTTGCACATGTAACCTGGAGCGATGAGGGAACACGAATGCCCGTACAGTGGCACAGCAGCACTGAAGTCAGACAGAGGGGAGCTGCTTGAACAGGAAAGATTAAATACCTACCCTAGCCTTAAAATAGGAGCAGCGTAAGTGAGCTCAAATGATAGCAGGAGAGGCCTCAGAGACCGAAGGAGTCGCTCCTGTCTCTAGAACACTTGTCTCATTCTCCGTTACCATTCACGTCTTACAGTAATGGGGAGAGAGATTATGCTAATGGTGATCTTTAATGTCAGTGACTGATGTGACAGCAAAGTAACAAAAGATGCTGCATGGGAATGAGACAGAAGGCTCCTGGCGTGTGGGGCTCCTGCTCACCTTGCGACAGGGACGGGTTTGCTGCAATACCCTGTTTGTAACCCCACCATCGTCTGCCTCAAGCAGGGCCTGGGCTGGCAAAGCTTCTCCCTGCACAGCACGGGGTGAACGTGGCATTGTCCCGGGAGACAGCAGCCTCTCAGGGTGGCAGGAATAGAGCAGGACCTGTGAGTGCCCCCTCGTAACAGATGAGTCCGTTCCACAGGAAAGGGATCAGTGACAGCGCCTGGCACACACCGTGTGCACCCGGGGGGCAGCAGGAGGAGGCCAAACACGTGTCTTAGCGTGTGGTCCTTCAGCATTTCACCTGCTCTGGATCCAAAGCTTGCCCCTGTCACCCCTATTGCAGACTCAAACCTCTTTTAGAAGCCCTTCAATGACTAAATGCAGCAACAACCCAGTGCAGGATGCACCAGTCTGACAACGCCTCCTCTTTGATTTGTGCCTGTGGGTGTCTGTGCTTAGGTGGTAGCTAAGAGTTCTCTATCTCTGGTAACAGAGCCTGCTAAAAGTGTGCCTGGGTCAGCTGCTGCGTGATCAGTGCGTGTCTGTATTTACAGGAATACCCAAGGAGCAGAAAGCCAGTGAGAAATGGGCTGAATTGTCACAAAACTTTGCCATGTTCTTCAAGGGGCAGCTGGAGCTACTGGTCCCTACAGTACCTGCCTTTGGAATCCCCCTAAAGTTACCAGGTGGCAGTCCCAAAGTGATGCAGCACAGCAGAACGAGAGCGGGAAGGGGATTTAACATGAACAGAGACACGTCTGTGCTGGAAGAACAGGAAGGAGGTTGAGGGAGGAGATGCCTCGGTTCTGTGGCACCGGGCGGTGACATGCAGCTGACAGAAGAGAAGCACATTGAGGAGACATCCCAAATGCCAACAGTGCCCAACCGCAGGTCCCGGCGGCGCCGGGCTGTGAGGAAGCACCTTGCAGAAGCAGCCACCAGCAAAGATGGGATCTTCTCAGCTCCTGCCTCCGTATTTCTAACCCTCCTCCTTCACCCTGGCCAGGCCTACTCTGGCCCTTCCCTGCTTATCCCACCCGAGGCTTGTCCCGCAGCAGGGAGAGGCAGCACAGGGACTGAATACTCTAGAACTGACTCCTGGCAGAGCCCCGGGCTCTATGTGACACAGCCATGAGCTCAGGGCAGTGTCACTGCACCACTAAAGCCACCCCAGGCCCCAGCGCAGTCTCTGAGACCAGAACCTGCTCATGGTTCCATTTTGACACGGAAACTGCTTCTTGCTGCATGTCCCTGTCCTGAGGCTGCCTGTACCTCGTTCTCACCTCTTTTTTAGGTGTGTTTAACTCACTTTCTAACCTTTCCTTCCCTGCAGATGGGGGGGAACAGGAATGGGGGAATTAACAGGCACTGGCTGGCTCCAGAGTGTTGTAGAGCAGCACCAGCACCTGATTCCTGGCTCCTGCTTTATCAGAGGCTAATTCCAGTCACTGAGAGTGTGAAAACCTCCCAAACCTTCCCCAGAAGTGCTCTGTGAGGCTGAGCAGGGCAGAGAACGACCTGACACCCCTCTCCTGGGCAGGGACCTGCCGCACAGCCCACCCTGTCCCCACGCTGCTCGGATCAAAGACATTCAAGGAAATCCTCTCTCTATTTAGACACTTGTTTCAATCCAATCAGGTTTTACCTTTTCTGCTTGGCTGAGCTCGTCCTTATTCCTGAGCTTATCCCTGTGCTTGGAATCTGGGTCAATGCTTTCATCTTCTAAAAACTGCATGTTCATATTCAAAAGCCAAGCAGCAGTGCGGTCCAGGGCATTGGGGTTCACAGGAGAAGGGGCCTACAATGAAACATACAACCATAACAAAAGAAAAACCTGTAACAGAAATGGTCATGAAGCTGGAGAGAGAATTTTCTTCCAAGCCCTCTCCCATGCTGCTCCAACAGCAACCAACCACCTGAGCTACCAGGCGGTTGGGGAGGAACAACTCCTGGTCTGTATCTGCACAACATTTGAGGTCAAACAGCCTTTGGCAGGCCAAATTCTTCCCTGTGCCACACCACAGAACAGGTGTAGGACAAGGTGCTGCAGTGGGGTCCTCTAGAAGGGCCCAGGTTTCTGAGCAGGTCCTGTCACCTCTGAAGGACATGACCTGAGAAGGTGCCGAGGGAAACAGTGGCCTGACGTGGTGTGGTCACTACCCAAGCAGAGATTGCTCTCTTCAGCCTCTTCTACTGAGCTGTCTTTCTGCTTGCTGTGGAGATCCCATACAGACAAAACCAGATCTGCAACTGAGATGCTGCTTCTGGTCATTCAGGAGCCTTTTTGGAACAGAAAGGTTTCTTCTTGGTTGAGACTACACTTACGATGCTGGAGAGCTCTAAATGCTCCACATCTTGGTAGTGCATGTCTAGGTTTGTTCATGTGGCAGCTCAAGGAGCAGTTCCATGGTCAGTGAGCTACAGCCACGGCTGCTGTTCAGTGCCAGCCTGGGCAGGGACTGCAAATGGCATTGCCTGAATATTTTCCAACCACATAACAAGGCTGAGGAAGTGAATGTCCAGCTATTTCTGCTCCATCCTGGCTCGCTAGAAACCACAGCAAAGAGCTGCTTGGATGCACGCAAAGCATCTGGATGACTTGGTCAAGGGAATTCAAGTTAATGAGTCAGAAATGTTGGGTCTTTCGCTTCTTTCAAAGCTCTGGACAGTGGAGAAACCCAGTCACCAGCAAGCAGCAGAACAGGAGGTTCTGTCCTCAGGAGGAGTGGGGACTGGTTTCATCACCTCACTGGGGCTGGAGGCTTTCTCATGTTGTCTTCTACTTCCACAGTTCCAAATCAGAAGTTCCAGACTCGGCTCATGACATCCCTTGCTGTAAATCCTCACTTTTCTGCCTTTTCTTACATCTCCAGCTCGAGCACTGCATCTGTGGTGGCTGCTCAGAATCTGTGGCTCCAAGGAGCAGTGGCCACCCGACTTCATGCCAGCAGCATAAAGGCCACTGATAAAGGATGTCAATGAGAGCTCAGCTCACTCTGCACGAATCCTTCTGCCTCTTCCTTCCTCCTCTGAAGGAGTAAAAAAGGACATTGGATCTCTAGGAGAGTTTGAAGTCAGTACAGCAGATGAACTTCGGAAGCAGAGGAGGCTCTTCTGGCTGCCAGGAACGAGGTTCATGGACTTCTAAAATGGCCACCAAATGGCATTCCTTTGTTCTCAATCAGTATTTAATACCACCAACTATGAGCAAGCAGCTCCATTATGGTTTACAGATGGTGCTAATATCCAAGTAAGGAGAGGCACCGAGGACTTCAGGTCATGAGATAAACTCTGAGAGGACCAGAGGGAACGGATGGAGGATAGATCTGCAAACACAGCTTGGCCAGAGCTTCCCAAAGGTCACCCACAGTTCACTGCTGTCTGCTCCCAAGCAGGCTGCTGCTGGCAGAGCTCTGTGCCCTCTGTCCCTAATGAGTATTGATCCCCATCACACAAATGCTGCTACACGAGGTGCTTTCTAATGTCAGTGCTGATGAATCGATACCGGGTGCAACGAGCAGCTCCAGATGGGGCTGACAGAAAGCCTTGAACGGGCACCACTACCAAAGGCCTCCACGGCTGCCTTGTGAAGGAGAAGCAGTTACACCAGCTCTGTTCCTCTTCCAATACCACACTGCTGAAGTGGTGCCTTAATACTGAGTCTGGGCTGAGATGCAGCGAGCTCTTGCCAGTTGTCCACATCCTCTGGGTTTGTGGCACTCTTGCTTTAGGCCCTACTGGGTTAGTTTTCTATAGGGTTACTTCTGAAATGTAGAATGAATGAGTCCTACAAAAACAATTTTTCCATGCCAGGAACACCAGAGGGCCCTGGGTCTGTGACCTACTGCTTTCTGTCTGAGCACCATGAATAGTGAATTTGTTTCTGTGCAGAACAGCATGTGGTGTGGGACCTGAATCACTGCAGAGCAGGAGCATCACTCTCGGTGGGGAGCACGCTCCTTCCTTCCTGCTCTCTCACCTCCCCACATGGATTTACGGGAGGGTCTCACAGAGCGAAGACACAGAAATGTCCAGGAGCGCTCTGGCTTCGCTGGGACAGGAGCAGCAGCAGGGGCACTCTTAGTTACAAGAGATCAGGACCTGGTCCAAGTCTGGGAGATGGCGCGCGGTTGACTATGGCATGGGATGAGAGCCTGGGCATGGAGAGGCAAAGCAGCGAGGAGATGGTAGCGCAGGACAGAGGCATGGCTGCC